AAACAGCCGGAGTGACAGGTAAGAACTCCCGCAACCTCCGTACCCTCGTCTCGCCGGTGGCAAAATTATAGAAGAAACGCTTTCTCTGAACGGTGTACGAGAATGGAATTGTTGCTATGACACCGATGAGAAAGAGCAGCACCAGTACGCCGATGGCGATCAGGAGCGGGATGTAACCGTCGACGACGATCTCGTCCGCTGCCTGTACTCGCACCCTGCCGTCGTCGTTGCTACTGCTGCTGTCTAATTGGCTGGTCGTGGACAAGCCCGTCGTTGTCGAGACGATGACCCGAGCGGTGCTGCTGACCAAATTCTCTGCAAGAACACACACACAGGACGTCACGTCAGAACACAATGGAGACGCGTGTGTTACTGACAAGTTCGCAAATCAGACCCGCTTGAAAATCGTACCACTAATACACTATGCTGTGTTCGACAAGTGGTTGGAATTCTGAGGTAAGTACGCTGGGATGAGGAATGCACTGTTTTGTTTTTACAAGATGGCCACAAACCATCGTGGCGCAAATGCCGCGCCTAAAAAGCACAGGGAGGCACATAGCGGTGGCAGTCGAAGCAGTGGAGGCGGGGCACGAGCAGCTAAACTGACCAAAGGGCTCGGTATCAACACTCCCTGTGCGCGCCGAACAGAAAAATACTAAGTGAAAACAAAATAAACAGGAGCATTGCAGAGAAAAAAACAAGAGTTTAACGCCCAAAACACAGGCGTGCCCCCCAAAATTAGTTTGAGTTACCTTTGAAAATTATCATGTTCAACTGCCTTCGTAATTGTCATACTCGTCTAACCGATGTCACTCTCAACTTGCGAGTAATCAGCTCATCTCTTCCGTAGCTCCACCTCTCCTTCCATCATGACCGAACATCAACTATACTTCAATTTCTCTAAATATCCATAGCCTGCACACTCATAGCTGCTAAAAAATGATGTATTGGGTTTTGGTGTCGTCTACAGTGTCGTCTACAGTCAAACCTGGTTAGGAAGAACACTGAAAAGTGTACTTTGAAAAGATCGCTTTAGAAGAACAAGAATTGATTACTCTATTGGATAAATCAGTGTGTTGTCGCTGGGAGAACTCCCGGTATTGTGAACAAAAAGTTCAAGTCGATCCCTTGGTGTTCGTCCTAAAGAGGTTCGGCGGTAGATTTACACCAGTGGCACTGGACGCCACGCGTCGGTATGTCAAACTCTCGGCCATAACAGACGTCATGCAGTGCTGGGTCTGCTGGGCCTGGTATACCAGTACTCAGGAGGTGTAGACTCTATGGAGTATGGGTGTGAGTGTGAGTCAACTACAGAATCTTCACGATACTAATTATCGCACTCCGCGAACCGCCAACCGGCTTCCCTTTCACACGTGCAAATGACTATGTAAAGGAGTACAAGATTTGATGCGCTGTATAACCGGCTTCGTCGTCGACTAGTTTTCAACTCAAGAACGGACACCGTCAAACAGAGAGGTCTGTTCCGCTTCCCAAACCGTCTTGTCCTCCGGCAGCAACAGCAAACAGCAGCAGCCCAGCGCAAGGCCAAGAGGCAAGAGCATTGTCATGGGTACACAACATTTTCGTCCGCACTGCTCTCCGTCAGACCCTAGCCTTGTGCCCCTCATTCGGCATCGACCAGGCCGGAAAGGACGCGTCCGACGCAGTCTACCTATCGCTCGCCGCGCATCCAAACACTGGGCGAATGCAGCAACTAATACTTGCACCTGCGGCTCCGTTCGCGCCCCTTGCAATGCAAGGTAAGTGATGGACATTGTACATGTACAGTATGTATGCAGCGGTGACTAGAACTTAGCGGGTGTTCAGCACACTTGACTTCTAGAGTTTCGTTTTCTGAAGAGGTGGCTTATTTGTATTCGATATTTCTGAAGACTGTATTATTGTACCACAAGGAGCGTAACGATTCCACAAAAGGCGATCGTTCAAACCAGGTAACAACAAAGAGCAAACTAAACTCAAAACCAAAACCAAAACAACAACTGCACCAGCAAGCTCTTTCCTTGCACTAACTACAAATACATCAAAAACCAAGCAGCAAAATGCAAATCCGCACGCATGTTTGCCGGAACTGAACCTCCGTAGCGCAGCTGATCATCGCGGCTGCACTGGACGACCTTCCCGCCACAGTAGGGCAAAGAACTATGCATGGAACTAGCAATGAATGCATGCAGCACACCAGCAAGCTGTCCCTACGCAGACGTCTAGTCTAGCGTGAGCAAGGATGAAATTGAATAGCATGAGAAACATGATAAGACACATTGACTCCTAGGATGCATGCAATGTATACAACATTATTCACTACGAGTTACGGAATCACCTGGTAACAGAGACCACACTTCGAAGGTCCCTTGAGCGGTCGTCTTACACAGGTTTCACTGTATGCATACAGTCAGTCAGCTTGGCTAATAACGACTGCGGATATAACGACAATTGGCGAATAACGACAGAATTTCCATGCCCAGAGCAAAGTCACTGTAATACATAAAATGAGACTTCGGGTATAACGACACTTTGCGAATAACGACACCGTGTTGATGCCCCGTAGAGTGTCGTTATAAGCGAAGTTGACTGTATGCGCCGATGACCTTCACCTTTGACGCCCATCACTGGGGGCGATGATAGCGATAGCGGAAGCCATAGCAACTTGTGCTGGAGTTGCACCATTCAACAGCTTGCAAGGCAGAAGAATTCACTGCCACAATTCAGCATGGTCTACGCCACAAAGCTATTGAAGTGACTTGACTTGCAGTGCAGTTCGAAAAGTCGGCGAGCGCCTAGCGTGCCTGTCGGTGCAGATCAGCCCTTTCCCAAAGATGCTCGCCACTTTTTTCGCAACTTCTCGTTGTTTAGGAAGAAATCGCAACCTTCGCAACTTTCTTCATTTTTTTCTGTTTCTGGCTAGTACCAGTTCTATCGCACTTATCAATCATCCTTATTGGCGTCACGCCATCGTGGAATAAAGGAATAAAGACTATAATTTTAAAGATAAAGATTTTCCCGAACTATTTCGCAACTTTTCCGCAACCTTAGCGCATGGGGTCAAAAGGTCAAGTTACACACTCACCGACTACATGTCGGACAAATACCAACTCGTACTCGCTCATTTCTCGCCTGCCTTCAGACTGATTTCAGAGAAACAATAGATCAACGGTAGTTGTGATAATGTGCACTGAAGTAATAGTTCCCTTTTCCTGGCACTGGAATGATGTACATGTACATGTAGGATACAGTCATGTGTAGGATACATGTGTAGGATACATGTGTAGGATACATGCAACAGGCTACTGAGTACTGGCACTGTGTAAAGTGGTGGTTCACAGCAGGAAGGGGTGTAGACCTACGAGTTTGCTGTCGATGCACTTCTGCTATTTCTGCTCTCTTTTTCGTAGGTTTTGCACAAGAACTCTACAATTCTGTGCGCAGCACTTGGACGTAGTCGGCCGATGGTGATCCAGTGCACGGCATGAGGCGGCTCTTTCAATGGGTACGGCGCACTTCAGAATCACGTCAGCGGCGGAGTGGACGACGGCATATACAATTGTCCGATGGAGCACGCCAAATTCTATGTTTGTCGTCAGCTGCAGTGCAATTTCACGGCCTCTCACAATGAGGACTTTATTATTATTATTATTATATAATTATATTAACCAGCACGTGACGCATCTGTGCCCAGCACTTGGACGTAGTCGGTCGATGGTGATGGAGTGCACGGCATACGACCTCTTTATGTACAGTACCAGGTACATTAACCAGCACGTGAAGCATCTGTGTCCAGCACTTGGACGTAGTCGGCCGATGGTGATCGAGTGCAAGGCATGCGACCTCTTTTAAGTCTTTATGTACAGTACCAGGTACATTAACCAGCACGTGATGCATCTGTGCCCAGCACTTGGACGTAGTCGGCCGATGGTGATCGAGCGCACGGCATGCGGCGACTGCTTCAACGGGTACGACGCGCTTCACAATCATCTCAGCGGCGGAGTGGACGACGCCACATGTGCATATTTTTGAAAAAACCAGGACATTGGAGTGAACTGGACCGGACAGAAATGTGACGTTTCTGGGAGTTTGCTCATCACACCAGCAAACACCACCCTTCGACCAAGTGCGTGGAATGCGACTTATTTATGTTCGACGACAGGTACATTAACCAGCACGTGACACATCTGTGCCCAGCACTTGGACGTAGTCGGCCGATGGTGATCGAGTGCACGGCATGCGGCGGCTGCTTCAACGGGTACGACGCGCTTCACAATCACCTCAGCGGCGGAGTGGACGACGGCACATGTGCATATTTGTGCATAATCACACCAGCAAACACCACCCTTGGACCAAGTGCGTGGAATGCGACTTATTTATGTTCGACGTCAGGTACATTAACCAGCACGTGACACATCTGTGCCCAGAACTTGGACGTAGTCGGCCGATGGTGATCGGGTGCACGGCATACGGCGGCTGCTTCAACGGGTGCGACGTGCTTCACAATCACCTCAGCGGCGGAGTGGACGACGGCACATGTGCATATTTTTGAATAAACCAGGACATTGGAGTGAACTGGACCGGACAGAAATGTGACGTTTCTGGGAGTTTGCTCATCACACCAGCAAACACCACCCTTCGACCAAGTGCGTGGAATGCGACTTATTTATGTTCGACGACAGGTACATTAACCAGCACGTGACACATCTGTGCCCAGCACTTGGACGTAGTCGGCCGATGGTGATCGAGTGCACGGCATGCGGCGGCTGCTTCAACGGGTACGACGCGCTTC